AGAATATCCGAATTGGAAGGGACCCGCAGGGATCATCGAGTCCAACTCCTGGCCTCGCTTTAATAATGCTTTGCTGGCTTTTCTGAGGGTTGCTGCAGCTCGGCGTGCTTGCCAGGCACCATGCTAACACCTTCCAAGCGAAGAAGAACAGTGCTGGTCGGTAGAAGTAGGGTTACGGTGTCCCAGATTAAATGAACTGGCGAAGTGAAATGTTCTCCAGGTGCTACAGGCTTGGGAATAAAGCGCAACACACAGTGAAATCCACCTTTCAAAGAACACGCTGCCCTTTCTGAGGCGGACGCCCACGGCTCCACAGTTTTCAGAGAGGACTCCTGCAGCCACCACTCGGGCACACAACCCAGTTAGCCTCCCCGACACTCCTTCTGGGAAACTGGTGCAAGCAGGAGAGCAGATGCAGCTCTGATGCTACCACCCGGAGGACACAAGAGCCTGTGATCATTTCCAGACCATTAGTTTTGTGCCCTCTCATTTTGAATGTTGCATAACACCCCTCCAAGAACTTGGCTTATCAGTTCAACTTTGCACTCCCTGCAAACAGGGAAGCTGTTTGTCAGGAACCTGTGCTGCTCTGCCAAAACCGTCTCTGCCAGAAAAGGCTCATAAAACCTTTTATTGCAGGATCCCCAGCTGCTATGGTAATTTTTCCTCCCCAGTCCCACCTCCACCAAGGTCTCAACAACTAGTTGAAAATAGCAGAGTACAGTTTTCACCACAACAGCATTGGAAAAGATCCTTCAGGTTATTGCATTTGCCCAAGTAAATTGCCAGTGCCTGTAATGTAAAGCATTTGGAGCTATTTTTGTAAGAAAGGGCTTCAAAAGGAGGTAGTCATATTTTGTAACCTCACGCAACGATGCCAGGATGCACACTCCAGTACATTTAGAATAAAGACAAGCAGCTTCCTACTCCAGAGGAGAGGATTATTGCTCTTCAGCTCAAGTAGCAGTTGAAACAGTTTGGCTTTAGAAAACCACTGCCGTAAGATTAAGTTTCAACTCGAAGTCATGCAGCAGAAACTGGATCTATCCAGTGCTGGGGAGAGGCAGAGCAGGAACGGGTCACGAAGAAGGTAGTAGAGGGAAGTGTCAGCTAAGAAAAGGCATGTGCAAGGGGAAAAAGTACACGCAGCCTCGTCAAAAACAGGTCTTGTGACCACAAAAAACACACCAGAAGCCAAGTTCCCAGGTACATCACCGGGGCAGCAAGGACCCTGTTCTTGAGGTCTAGCAGACTGGTGAGGCAGAGATAAATGATGCCCTAGCCTGTCCCCTGCTGACAGGCTCGGTTGCAGACTTGGACGACGTGTTCACACCCGGCTTCACCTCCAGCTTTGCTCCTGCAGTGGCCTGAGTGGTTTCAGCAGCCAGCAGCAGCTCCCCCAGCCTGACCGTGAGATCGAGCCCTCCTCTTCCCACCAGCTTGCTGCAGGGGTGAAGGCTCCAAACAGCTGCCCGAGCCCCCAGCCATGCTGCTGAGGAACTGGGCTTTCACCAGCAGGGAAAACCCTGTGCTGGAGCAAGGGCAAAAAGAGCTTTCCCCCCCTCCACTGGAAAAATACCAAAGCTGACAATCTGATCAGGCTACAGCTGAGTAGAGGCAGGAGAAACGGCGCAGAGCAGAGATAAAAGGATCCTATCCGAACGGCAGGCAGGAGCACTGGAAGGAAGGACAGACAGGACATGGCATTGTGTCAGGCTCACACAAAGAACAAAGCCTTCACAGAGAGGCAGGGCAGAACATCACTGAGAAGAACCTAAAACCCACTTCCATCCCGCAAGTCAATATGTGCTTGCTGAGTTCAGGAAGTGGGTTTTGCTGCTTCAAGTACACTTAATACCTGTTTGTTGCTGCCCTACAGAACGCTGCCACATTCCCTCAGCCAAGCAGGCAATTATTTGTGTTGGAGCAGGGAGGCTGACAGCCAGCTTGTGCCCATCGCTCCGACCAACTACGGGCGGCTGAAAAACACAGGGAAGCACCAGCAGGAGCAGCGAGGAGCCGCACAGCGAGGCACAGAGCTAGCAGGTGTTTTATAGGGGCCGTGGAAGGCTCAATAAGTTGAGTTCTCGGTAAGCTGAGTTCCTCCTTGCAGCAACGTGCAGTGGCACAGGAAGCCAACTACAGCTAGAACCTGAAAAAACAAGAGGGAAGTCAGCCAACTTCCTCAATATTTTGGTACTGACAATGCGGTGCTGCCACGGAGAGGATCGGGGCCAGGGAAGTCACTGGGGAAAGGAGCACCACCGGACAGAAATCAGAGACACCAAGTGGCTTTTGGGGAACAAAGACCTTGCTTTGGGGCTGCTGCGTGGCCGAGTTCTTGGGGCGGCTCAGTCCGTGTGCTTTTAACACCCTCCTCTCCCCTGGGGTCTCCAGGGGAGCTGGCTCCTGCCCACCTCGGTGGGTGCCCACCCTTACCTCCGTGCTGCGGGCAGCTGCAGGGCTGGAGTGCCACCTTCTGGCAGGCTGCGGGCAGCACTGCCTCCTCCGGGAGCTGGCAAGGACAGCATCGGGGAACACGGGTCCTTTGGGAGCTCTGGATCCAGCTCAGAGCCAGAGGTGTGCCAGGGGGTTGGAGTCGGATGGTCTTTAAGGTCTCTTCCAACCCAAACCATTCTGTGATTCTATGATCTCCTCAGCAATGTGACCCAGGTTAAGGTCTGAGCACCCTCCAAAAACAGGTAACTCTCGCGTGGATCAACTCAAAAGCATCCCAGACTTTAGCCGGGTGTTCACAAACTAGAAAGCCTCTTTTTTTAAATTCTTGATCCACTTCATGGCACCAGCCATCTACAGCCGCGCTGCTCTCCGTGAGGTGGTACCTGTCTTGTGCGGCATCCTCCAATGTCTTCACAAAGGCCAAAAATTAAGTACATAAAAAGCATCCTAACAGTAGCGAGTTTTGGAGCTGTACTGGACGTGCCACAAAACATTTGCTTCCATTTTAAGCTTGACGTATAGCTCCTGCAATTCCCCGCCAGCTACCCGGGACGCGCATGGGAAGCTCCGCGTGGTGCAATGCTTTGAAGCTACTGCCCCCTGCCCCACACCAAGATCTACTGCAACCCCTGGGGCAGTTTCAGGGAACAGAACGCAGCCTGAAAGGCACCCCGAGAAGTCACCTCTAGCCTACCCCCTTTTACACCATCCCATTCACTAAATATATTAGGATTCTGAAGAGAAGGGCAAAACCAGCACCCTATCCAAACTCCTTGTGCTTCCCTATCCTCATTCTTCTGTTTTAACCTGTCTGCAGTGCCACCAGAGCTTCTAATATGCTGACAGCAACTCCCACCTCGGTCCAGCTGAAGCCGTGAACACATTCTGTGTTTCAGCAATACGCCACGGGTGTGATGAGGGCAGACCCCGAGGAGGCTGCTCCAGCAGCAGCGCACCAGAACCACGGCGAAATGCAACCGAATACTTGGACTCCTTGCAGAAAAGGCTCTGCAAGAGGGTGGAGACTCTTCCTGCAGGAAGGGTTTTTATTCTGCTTCATCTTCTGCCTTCCTCCAGGCTATGAAGACAGCGGCATTAAAATCTCCAGTAAAAAGGAGAGATGAGAGCAGAGACAATTCAAGGAAGAAACGTCCTGTGCCAAATGGGAGCGATATGTCCGAGAAGAGATTACGCAGTAGGCGAGATACACGGATATCTGCACGGGGTTGTTTTGTTCTGCACAGCTCTCCGAAATCAGAGACGGAGGCTGAACAAAATCAGAGTTAAATCGAGCTGAGAGCAAACACCAGCTTTAAAGTTAAATCATTCAAGCGGCCAGGCTCTAACCGTGCTGATGTTTTTACAACAAATCCAAGTTTGGCCAACTGGCGTTTTGAAAATTCTCTTGTCTGAAGCTTCAGAAAATAGAAGAGATTGCTCCACACAACTGTGATGACGACCTAGAAACTGCTCCAACCACTGCGAGTGCTGCTGCAAGATGCGGGCTTTGCCGTGCCTCACTGATGTCATGCTGCGTATCCAGAGCCAGAGAAGGAAATTCCATGGGCTTTAGTGACAGGCACGTAAGAAAAAGCTACCTCTCAGAAAATAGGAAAGGCTTAAAAAAAGACAGGCAGCTTTAGCACAGTGACCCAGAAAATTACAGATATGAGGCACCGGGTTAGACAAATGAGATAGCGGGACTGTTTAGACATGGAGTGATTACAACAGGAAGGCCCTGCAGGAACGCGGTGCTATTTCGAGCCTTTTACATCAGCTGAAGCAGCTGTGGAACTGCACACACAGGAGCCCAGTGCCTGTTCACACACTGACAGACGCATGCTGAGGCTGCCCCAACCCTGCCCTCTCCTGCTGCACACCCTAGACCCTCCTTTTCCCTAATTGTTGGATCCCACACCAAGCTAGCTGAGGAAACTAAGTAAAGATTAACCCCAAAAGGAGAAAGTTGTTCAATTTTTGGCCAGCCCAGCTCCCTAAACCAGTTTACAATGGGGTCAGACGCAGGCTTACAGCCACCGGGATGGGATGGCAGGTAAGCAGCAGTGCAAACAAAGCACGCACACCCTGGGAGCAAAAACCTTTAGCACCACAATGATGCTGCACCAGCTTGTCTGAGACCTCCAGAAGAGTTTCAAACAGCTGCAGAAAACACAGCAGGTACAAGGCGAGTGTGGAAAGTTGGTCTGAGAGCCCCCAGAGGTTTCACGTGCTGCCTCAAGCAGCTGGTACTCACGTGATGAAGTCCAGAAAACTCGCTAGGGGCTCATAGGCGTGGTTCCTCATGTGCCGGAACTCCACCACCATCTTCTCCTTCAGCTTGTCGTCTATGACGGAGACGGTGAGCGGGGACGCCTCGTTGGCCAAGAAGTTCCCATAGTCGGTGCTCTGCAGGTGCAGCTTCAAGTCTGGAAAAGAAAGCACGGGTCCACGCTACAGGGTTTGTGCTGGGAGGGGTTCCGAGCATACCTGAGGAGGCTGGGGGTCAGCTCTGGGTATTCCCTTCTCTGAAAGGTCACCTGAAAAAAAAAAGCCCACGCGTTAAGCCATGTGGTTACGTTTGTGCTCAGCTTTATTGAGGACAATCTAAATGCAGAAAAAAAAATAAATTGGTTTCACTGCAGCAGCCGTGCCCCATCTTAAAAGGAAAATTCACTGTCTGCATAACTGAGCACATCTCTCTGCCAGCTGTGCTTGGTAAGATGGAAGGCTGCTGATTTTCTAGATTTTCTAGGAAAAAAAGTATTTTCTACTGGCCTTGATGTCTAGAGAACTGAATTCTTATTTCCTCTAGCCAGAAGTGCTCTGGTCACAGGCTTCTGCGAAGTGACCAGGACCGAGAGCCCACCTGCCTCCAACAAACAGGTCCCCTCAGCAATGACTGGGAGGCAGGAGGCATCCGAAACACTTTCAAAGCCAAAGAGACGCAAGCAACAACCCTGAAATCAGAAAGCAGCCAGGACACCATCAAGTGAGTCCAACCAGCTACCTTGGTGAAGTCAGGCATTAAAAGGCAGAGAGGGGCTGGAGAAGCCCATCCACACCCATCTCACACAGTGGGCACTCCCTGCTCAGGATGGAGGAACACTCTCAGAAGCCTTCCTCCCCTCCAGCTTCGAGCAGTTTTCTCTGGTACCCCTGCTGCACCAGGTCCGGTGCCCAACCGAGCCGCAGTGCTGGACAACAAGCAACCACAGCACGCTGAGCTCTGTCAAGATAAAAATCCCTGCGTGAGCCAAAGGCGTTTAAGTGTCCGTATGGAAAAACTGAATCCAGAGCTGAGGAACGTCACAGAGTCCCATTCCTCAAAGCATTACGAGCTGCGCTGGTACATGGTGTTCAGCTCCCTTCAGCTTCACCTCGGAGGGCCAGTTAGGCAAGCATCCTCCCAGGGATCCAAGGCCTTTATGGGGGGAAAGGAGAATAGCTGGAAGAGTTTAGCCAAACCAGATGTGAACGCCCCGTCCAGAGAAAACAAACAGAAAACCCAAGAAACTTCTCCCTGCTTTCCCTGAAGCAGGAGCGCTGGGGTCACCTTCCCCTCCTGCTGAGCCGCGCGCGTCCTCAGCACCACGGGATGAGCATGGCAACCTGCAGGTGGACAGAGAGGTAAGTGAGAAAAAGGAGTGTGTATATATGGCACGGGTCAAGCTGAGCTTGAGGAGACTGATCTCTTGACATTACAGTCAGCTACGGCCACGAGCTGGACAGCATTCTCAGCACTGAGCTCCAAGCTGAGCGTGTACTGTACAGCGTGACACTGGCCTCATCCAGAGGGGCAGAAGGGTCAGACAGCTTTCAGGCTGACTTAAATCCTTCTGGGTATTTCCAATGGGGTCCAGCAAAGACATTTTTGACCCAGCACTGTTTCGTTCCGAAGACGTTACCACTGCTAAGTCTCACAGGAAACAGATGGTGGTTATGGAGGGGGTGAAAAAAGGCCAGACACTTAATAGCACTCAGTTTCTGTCATGTTTCTCAGCAGTTTCCAGGACAGTTTCATACTCCACTTACTTTTAACAAGGGATCCTGGATGCAGCAAAGAGAGCTACTTGCTCAACAACTCGCACCGTGGCTGAAGCAAAGCAGAAACTGAACCTAGCTCCCTGCTCCCCAGGCTGTGCTGCAGCCCAACAGCTGTGCTCTGTTCCACCACGGCACCGTGAACTCCTGCTCGCACTTCTGAGATGGGAAAACACGGGCTGGAAAACGGAGAGATGGAGGCTTTTTTTTTCCCCAACATGACCTTTCAAGGCTTTTGTGCCAAACTCAGAGAGCCCCTCGCCTCAGCGTGGCCTGCACAGGTTCGTTACTGCTGACGGTCACCTCCTACCTGATGGCAATCCCTTGGTGAGCCCCGCAAAACCCAGCTCCACCGAGCAGTTCTGCACCTCCCTGGCTTCTGACAGCTAAGAGAGTGACAATATACCAGAATTAAGTCTTAATGAGTTCTCACTCCCCCTAAAAATAAACCCTATAGAGGTCTGGGCTAGAAACCAAGACCTAGAGCTACAAGGCAAGCTGAGGCAACGCTGACATCAGCCTTTCCAAAACAAAAAGACTTTTAGATGAGCTTTGGAGTACGAGTGGAAACGAAGTGCTGCTGTCAGATCAGAGCTTTACCAGCTTGCGTTTAATGGAAGCACGGAGCCAGAGTCAGCAGCTGCTCACCAAGCATGAGAGAAAAGGTTGCAGGAGGAAAACTGTGCCCGTGGAATCAGACTGCAGGGTAAGGCTGAGGGGACCGCAGCAGCAACACCCCCGTACCGCCCTGAGGAAGGCTCAGGCTGTGCAAGAAGGCATGTGATGTTGTTTTGCAGCTACACGGGAACTTGGAGAGGAAACCGCTTACTGCGCATCGTCCCACCAGATCTTGTTTCAGCAGGGAAACTTCCCAGGCTTTCCGCTTATTTCCTAGAGAAGAGAGGGGAGAAGTGTTTGAAGGATGCCTTCCGACAGCCCCATTGCAGCCACCAGCTCCATGAAGCTGCTCGCTGAAGTTATTACTCAGCTCAAACGGCTCGCTGAGAGCAGTCCATGGTGCAGACAACATGGGGTTTTGGCTGCGTTTGCCCTGATTTCAGCTTCAGCTCTCCTCAAGGAAAGAGACGGATCTGACCCAGCCCTGGAGCTGGGACCTCCCAGCCACACTGCGCCTCCTGCATTCCCCTGGACTGCGAGGGAAATGAAAACACCAAGGGAAAGCTGTAAGACTCCCGAGGCGGACAGCCCCATCCCCAACACCTTGGGCACGGCGGGAGGCCAGGCTGGGAAAGCTGGTGCCGAGCAGAGGGCTGGCAAAGAGAAGAGCTCAGCGCTTGTTTGGCGAGCTGTGTGCCACTTCTGGCCTGCCCCGAGCTGCTGCGGGAAGGGACCTGGCGGTGCCACCGCCACCTCCTGCAGCTCAGCTCCTACCTCTGAGGCCACAAGAATCCTCCCTGCTGCCCGGCCAGGGATGGAGGGGCAGGAAAAGCACAGCCAAGAGGGCAGAGCTGCCCCCCACGCGCTCTGCCTGTGCCTCGCAGCCTCTCCATCACCAGCTCCGAGCAAGCTCTGCCCGGCCGGAGCGTTTTATCCCACGCAGCGAGGGGGCTGCCCCCCACGCCACAGCACAGGAGCCAGCACAAGGCTGTGCTGTAACAGGACTGAGGTTTATGTAACACTTGGAAGTCGCTTTTACAGGCAAGGCCAGCCACAAGCTGCAGGAACCCAGCTCCTCTGCGCCTCCTCGCATCCAAGCGGACGGAACACATTTTCCAAGAGCCGGGCTGGGGTTGCAAACCCTGCCTCAAAGCATCCCACGGCGTAGCAGCGCCTCACACGAGCCCGTCCTCCTCCAGCCGTGCTCCCCAGGTGCCATCCAGGAGGGCTTGGGAGGTGCTGATGGATCCTGGGGCTCTTCCTGGGTGGAATCCCCTGCCACAGGAGCCTCGGGAGCACGGTGCCTGACAAGCAGACCCACTACTGAGCTGGAATTGGAGATCCCCACGCTGCTCGGGGCTCCCACCTGGAGATGGGCTGATCCTGGCGAGCCCCCCCAGACTCTGACTAGCAGGCTTCAAGCCGGGGACTGCTTCCGAGGGGAGCACTTGCCTGTTTTGGAGCTTCTCCAGGTGGTTCACGCACTTTAAGAGCGTCCTGAGCCAGCAGCTGGCAAGGGAGCTCGTGAATCACCACGCTGCTTTTGTTCTCTCGCCTCCCCCGCAGAGCCCAGTAACTCACGGCCGGGTCACAGCTCCCAGAAAGCTGCCTCACGCAGGAACACACCAGCTCCTCAGGCCCAGGTCCTTTTTTTTTCTTTTCCTGCCGGGTATTCCTGTGGAGCAGCACACGCCATGGTAATCTCGAGCACTTACAGCAGCCTCCTTCCAGCCCTCGGACCAGGCACTCTGATTTGGACACTCTCAGCAACCTATGGCCCCACCAGCTCAGCTCACACATCCAGCCCGTGTTCTCCATCACCTCCTGAAGCCGTGCTGTTCAACACCAAGTTTTAGGCACTTCCAGCAAGGACTGATTGTCCTCTCACTCATGGGCACGAAAGCTTGCACAGCTTCTGAGCTGAACCCATGTTTTTATGCAATTACCTGCTGCAATCCCAACGTCTCACTCCATCGCTGCACGTACACGAAATCAAAGCAGTCTCCCCATCAGCTGCATCGCCCACGTCTCCCTCCAGAAGGCTGCAGCTCTCACCCCCCAGCTTGTCGCTGCGTTTATAACCACTTCAGACGCTTCTGAAACGGATTCTCTGAAACCTGACTTGAGAAACGCCGAGAGACCCTTCCTTTTCTGCAGAATTTCAGACTTTTCTGTGGTTGCAAAGCAGTATCGGTGGTGTTCCGCCGCTCCGGTGCCAGGCAGCAAATTCCACCGCACCACAGCTGGGCCCAGAAGTGACCTCTCTGGCCCTTTCCCCATCACTGTGTCACCTCTAACTCTCCACCTTCTGCTTCAGAGCTCCTCAGCCCGTGTTCCTATCTCTGCCAAGGGAAACCATGGCTGCAATCTCCGAAGTCCTGGACACTGCTGTGAAACCTAGCAAAGCTGAAGGGAAAAGCAACAAATCACTCAGAAGCTAGGAGGAACGGGGCAGAAGCAGTCCCACACCGCAGGGACCGAGAGCAGAGGAGGAGGAACACCACCAGGACACCAGCAGCGAGGGGCTGCAGGCGATACGTGCTGGGAAACCCGGGCGCTGCCATCTCCTACCGAGGGGCAGGAGCCAGACAAGGCATCAGGCAGCACCTGAGGAGCAGCTGACCTCAGGTGCCGCCTGAAGCTCAGCCACGCGAGGCTGTGGGGTAGGTCTCCACCTGGTAAAGGGGGCCAGAACAAACAGCAGCGAGCCTCTGGTGAACCCTGCAGGAAGCCAGAGACCACAGCGTTTGGCACCACGGCTGGGCAAGGGCCGGCGTTTATTTTCGACGTGTTTTGCTTCAGCTTGCTTCAAGAGGAGAGCCGACCGAGCAGCCCCGGCGGGCACAGGGCAGCCTCGGGGCTGCTGCTCTTTTGTCACACTCGCAGTGGGGCAGGAACACTCCTGAGCCCTGCTCAGGCCCCAGAGCTCTGCCTGGGGCATCAGATGTGGGATGGGAGCTCCTGCACAGCCACAACGCACCCCAGCGAGCCCAGGGCCAGCTCTTCACAAAAATAAAAGCAGATGCCAGGGCAGCAGCCCCGTCCTGTGTTTTCAGGAGGTCCCTGCACATGTAAAGGCTGGGCTGCTGCACCTGCAGAGCTCCGGGCTCAGCCTGAAGCTCCCTCCAAGTTCAAGGTGGTCCTGAAGCGTGGCAGGGCTTAAATCCATCACGTGGCTTCCAAGAGCACGGTGATAAAGCCCAAGAGAGAAGGGCAGCACGGCCTCCTCTGCTCCTCTCTTGGGGAAAGCAGATGTGGGGAGCGCTCGGCCTGCAGCACGATAAAGCCAAGGCCTCCGCGGGAGGAAAGGAAGATCCTTGGGACTCCCACAACAAAATTCTGCGCTCAGCAGGAGCCCGTGGCACACAAAACACCCATGTGCTGCAGCCAGGAGCCCACACAGGCACTTGGTTCAGTGCAGAGCCTCTCTGTGCAGCGGGAGGACAGCCACGATGCATCCCCCGTGGCTCCAGTGCTTTTCAGAGAGTCATTAAGGTTGGAAAAGCCCTGCAAGACCATCCCCTACCACCACTGTCACCGCCAAACCACGTCCCCAAGCACCACGTCCAACCTCTCCTCGAACACCCCCAGGGACGTCCTCTGCTCCAGCCCAAACACCCCCAGCTCCCTCAGCCGCTCCTCACAGGACTGGTGTTCTTTTAAAAAAAAAAGTCATAAGTGGAAAAAGGCCTAAGAAAAAAAAGTCAGAAGTCAAGTCATAAGACTCCTCTCATACAGGAAGGCAGCAGGATGCTTGAAAACTGGCCACTGTTTTCTGGTGTCTCTTGCAAGCAGGCAGCCTGCAGTCAGAGCATTTCATCACCTCTCCTCTGCATGGAGGAGGAGAGGGAAGGGGACAAGCCATCGGAGCATGGATGCCCCTGGAAGAGGCATTTAGGGCAGCAAGCCCTCAGCGAGCCACCCCCGAGCTGACTGAGGCAGCAAAGCCACCCCGAGCAACCCTGGAAATGCTCTTCAGGACTCACCACCAGCCTGGTGCTGGCTCGTTCCACAGCACCCAGCCTAGAACTGCATCCTTGGGGACTCCTCCTTTCCCCAGGAACCACTTTTATCCATTATCTGCCTCTCCCAAAGGCACCTCTGAGGCTCAGCTGGCTCACACCAAGCCCAGAACAAGCCCAGCTGGCTGCTTCCCAGCCCCATTCCCTCAGCCAGCAGAGGAAGGTAAGCAATGAGAGGGGACTGAACGCTGACAAGAAGGTGCAGAAGCTCCTGCTCCTAAAGAAAATCCTTTTTCTCGCCCCCAAGCTCCGTACGCTGCCTGCAGTGCTGAACACCAACAGCAAGGCCTGCCTGGAACTGATATTCCTGTCCCAGATCGAGCTCCACGCCTTCCAGCAGCTCTGCTGTGAGACTCTACCCAGGGTATGATGTTCTCCAGAGCAGGCTCCAGACCTCCAGCAGGATGTTCAGCTTCTAGGAGCTCAGCATCCTCCCGACAAGAGAGGTCGCAGCGACTCCTAAGCCTGGTTATCCAGGACAGAGGTGTGCTTACACAGCTGGAACGGGGAAGCAGCTCCAAGCCCGTCACTGACACCTCGTGTCAGAAGCAGGAACTGGCTGCAGCGAGCTCCGAGCATCCCGCACGGGCACGCAGCACACGAGGACCTCTGGCTGGGGAACGGCCCCAGAACCAGGGCTCCTGGAGCTGAAAGAGAGGATTAAACAGGTTGTTGCTGAGGGGCTCCAGAAAAAGCATAAGCCAAAGCAGCTGTTGTGCTCTCCTGGCGATTCTTGTCACGTTTTCCAGCCCTTTTTAAAGCCAGGTGGGAGCCTGCCTGCTCACAGGGAGCTCTATGGCTCCATGAGATGGCAGTAAGCAGTCTCAGCAGGAGTTTTAATCAGCTTACTTTGCGATCAGACGAGCAGGGATGGCAGAGGATCACGCAGAAAGGCAAGCCAGCACCTACCTCGATTTAGTGCCGAGAGAGGACGCACCTGGAAGGCTACAGAGCACAGCAAACCGGTGCTGTGCTAGGAAAATCATAGCTACAGGGACAGAGGAAAAGAAATGGTCTGACCACAGACCTACGTAAGCGATCACAAGCAACGTTCCTTGAAGGAAAGCCTTCTGCAGGAGCCAGGCAGAAGAGGAACGAGAACAGCAGCAGCTCAGAACAGCCCTCGAGGTCTGAATGAGGCTTGACAAGGAGCACAGCAGCCAGCAGAGAGCCATCAGGGGCAGGATGATAATGACACCACGATAATCACGCTGTCCTGAGCCACTTCACATGCAGAAGGCACCACAGGAGGAGCCAAGTTTACGCAACTGGGTTAAGAAGGCAAAGAGAAGGGAGAGAAAAAGGAGAAGCTGAAAATACAGAAACACCCCAAAGAGGAATTAGTCCGCGGGGATACAGTTTCGGGCTGCTGACTAGCAAGGCCGCAGGAATACCTCCCGACACACTCCTTCGGGCCCTGCGCTCCACAGCAAGAACAATAAAGGCTCCTCTGCAGCTCTCTGCTTGCAGCAGTCTGCTGAAAATAAGCTTCTGCCCTACATAAAGGTATTACAGATACTTTTAAGGTACACAAAGGCTGAAGCAAGCGAGAGCATTCTGTTCCCATTCTGTTCTCTAACGCCTGGGTGAGCAGCTCCAGGTACACACAACCAAAGTCCACCTGCCAAGGACCCTCCCAGGTGCTGAGCTTGCATCTGAATCGCTCAGCAGTGACCGAGACAGAGCTGACACTTCAGAGAGTACCCCGAGCTGGAAGGGACCCACCAGGGCCACCGAGTGCAGTTCCTTGCACCACACAGATCCACCCAGCAATTCAGACCATATGACTGAGAGCACAGTCCAAAGGGTTCTCCAACTCCAGTGGGCTCGGTGCTGTGACTGTGTCCCTGAGCAGCCTGTTCCAGTGTGCGACCACCCTCTTGGTGAAGAACCTCTTCCTGATGTCCAGCCTGAACCTCCCCTGTTGCATCTTGACTCCATTCCCTCAGGTCCTATCGCTGGTCACTAAAGAAAACCGATCGGCGCCTGCCCCTCCACTTCCCTTCGCGAGGAAGTTGTAGACCATGATGAGGTCTCCCCTCAGCCTCCTCTTTTCCAGGCTGAACAGACCAAGTGACTTCATCCGCTCCTCATATATCTTCCCCTCTAGGCCCTTCACCATCTTTGCAGCCCTCCTCTGGACACTCTCCAACAGTTTCACGTCCTTTTTGTGCTGTGGTGCCCAGAACTGCACACAGTGCTCGACGTGAGGCTGCACCAGAGGGACAATCCCTTCCCTCATCCAACTGGCGATGCCATGCTTGGTGCACCCCAGGGTACATTTGGCCCTCCTGGCTGCCAGGGCACACTGCTGCCTCACCTTCAGCTCGCCAGCAGTTCCCTGGCATTTTCAGAAGTTTAGCAAATCCAACCATTGCTGTGCCACTGACACCTAAAGACACGCGTGTCTCCGACCCGTTTCACTAGGGAGCAGGTGTTGGTGTTTGTGGGTTACAGGCAGATCCTCCTGGCACCTAGGATGGAACGATGGCACAGAGAGCAGCGCGGCACCAACCAGCTGGGGTGGGATGGCCACAACCAAGCGGTGCAGTCGGTACACCAGAAGGAAGGGATGGCATCGAAAAGGACCTGGACAAGCTGGAGAATTGGGCCCACATAAACCTAACGAGGTTCAACAAGGCCAAGTGCAAGGTGCTGCACCTGGGTGGGGGCAATCCCAGACGTGAGGACAGGCTGGGGAGAAGAACTCACTGAGAGCAGCCCTGCAGAGACGGACTTGGGGGTTCTGGTGGACGAAAAGCTCGCTGTGAGGCAGCAGTGTGTGCTCGCAGCCCAGAAAGCCAACTGCATCCTGGGCTGCATTAAAAAAGGGGTGGGCAGCAGGGCAGGGAGGGGATTGTCCCCCTCTGCTCTGCCCTTGTGAGACCCCACCTGGAGTGCTGCGTGCTCGATGACTCGATAATCCCGAGGTCTCTTCCAACCTCGACAATTCCGTGATTCTGTCCAGGGCTGGAGCCCCCAGCACGAGGAGGACGTGGGGCTGTGGGAGCAGGTCCAGAGCAGGGACTCGAAGGTGCCTAAGGGGCTGGAGCAGCTCTGCCGTGATGGAAGGCTGAGGGAGATGGGGGTGTTCAGCCTGGGGAAGAGGAGGCTGTGGGGACACCTCACGGAGAGCGTATAAAAGGGCTGGAGAGGGACAATTTGCTTGGGCAGATGACGAGGACGAGGGGGAGCGGGCTTGGGCTGAAAGAGGGGAGATTTAGGTCGGATATGAGGAGGAAATCCTTCCCTCTGAGGGCAGGGAGGCCCTGAAGCAGGTCACCCAGACAGGCTGGGGGTGCTGAAGGCAAGGTTAGACGAGGCTTGGAGCACAAAAAACTTAAAAATATACATCTAAAAACGTCATAAACAAATAAATAAGCAAACACACGACAAGGACCCGACCCCCCACCCCCCCAATAGCTCACCCTCCAGGCTCTCGCACTGCACCAGGTTCACGTAGTCGCCGTGCCGCAGCACGCCCGCCTTGAAGCCTCGCACCAGCCCCTCCAGGTAGCCGTTGTCCACGTTGAAGTGGAGCTCGGGGCAACACGACATCATGGCGGCAGCGCCTCCTTTCCTCTCTTCGCCTTCCTTTTCCCTTCCCTTCCCTCCCCTTCCCCTTCCCCCGGCCGCTCGCCTGACGCCGGCCGCAGCCCCGCCCGCTTCACCGGCCCGGCGGGCCCTGCGCGGGGAGGGAGGGGTTCGGGCGGAGGGGAGGGGATTTGGGGTGGTTTTGGGGGAATTTTGAAAAAGGGAGGGAGGGAGGGGTTAGGGAAGGTTGGGGGAGGAGGCTGAAAGGGTTTTAGGGGGAGTTTTAAGAGGAGACTCAGGGGGTGTGAGGGGGATCATGAGGGGGTCTTAGGAGGAGGCTGAGGGAACGCTGAGGGGAAGCCTGAGGGGGAGTCAGAGAGGAGGCTGAGGGGGTCTTAGGGGGAGTATTTAGGGGAGACTGAGGGGAATTGGAGTCGTAGAGGGGAAACTGAGGGGTAATTGGAGTCTTAGAGGGGAGTCTGGGGGGATTCTGAGGGGATCTTAGGGGGAGTCCTAAGGGGGAGCCTGAGGGAGAGGCTGAGGAGTCTTAAAGAGAATCCTGAGGGGACCCTGGGGGAGTCTGAGGGGGGTCACAGAGGAGCCTGAGGGGGTTTTAGGGGGAATATTAAAGGGACACTGAGGGGAATTGGAGTCTTAGAGGGGAGTCTGAGGGGATTCTGAGTAGATCTTAGGGGGAGTCCTAAGGGAGAGGCTGAGGGGGGTCAGAGAGAGTCTTAGGGGAGGGTCTGAGGGGAGCCTGAGGGGGATTCTGAAGGGATCTTAGGGGAAGGCTGAGGGGACTCTGAGAGGAGTCTGGGGGAGACTGAGGCTGATGGGGAGTCAGAGAGGAGCCTGAGGGGGTCTTAGGGGGAGTATTAAGGGGAGACTGAGGGGTAATTGGAGTCTTAGAGGGGAGTCTGGGGGGATTCTGAGGGGATCTTAGGGGGAGTCCTAAGGGGGAGCCTGAGGGGACCCAGGGGGAAGCCTGAGGCACCCTGTGGGGAATCTAAGGGGATCCTCAGCCCCCCACCCCAGTACAGCCCCACACATCACACCGGAGCCCCCCCGGTGGGGAGGCACTTCCCATCGGGAAGTGTTTCTGTGCAATGCCGGTGGCTGAGCGCAGGCACAGGTCACCCAGAGTGGCCACGGGGTCTCCATCATCAGAGGTCTCCAAACCCACCTGGGCTTGGCACTGGGTGGCCCTGCTGGAGCAGGGTAGCACCGGGTGACACCAGGAGGTCCCTGCCCACCCCTGTCACCCCGAGCAGGACACCAGCCCCAGTCTCGCTCAGTGATGGGTTTGCTATCGGCTGCTTTATTGGAGCTGCAGAGGAAGAGGCTTGTGGGGAGAGGCCCGTAGCGGCCCTGAGGGGCGAGGAGCGGGCAGCCCGGCGGCACTAGTTCTTGCCACAGGGGAAATTGGTGCTGATCTTCCTGCAGTAGCAGAAAGCGTTGAAGAAGCGGCAGTAGCAGGTGGCGCAGGGGTCGCAGCAGGGGATCTGGTGGCCCAGGCAGGACTCCAGGAGGCGGACACAGCGGCGTGGAGAGCGTTCTTCTCGACCCGGAGCCTGCAGGGCTGTGGATGATGCCTGCCAGAGAGATGAGGAGGGAGAGGGTTTGTGGTCTGCCGGCTGGTGAGGAAGAATCATTTTGGAGAGAGCCAGGAGCCCAAGGCAGCTCCATCTCAAACGAAATGAGGCTTGCCAAAACCAGAGATATCCAGGAGAAGACACTCAGGACTTTGTGCTGAACCCTTTTTTCACTTCAGCAGTTGATCCATGACCCCCTTGGGTCGGGGGTAGCAGGAGCAGGTCCCGCTCGGACCCTCCAAGGGGAAGGACGGGTCCATGTGTTGCTCCAAAAGGATCTGAAGGTCCTCAGCAGTGGATTCCCTGCTCCCATTCCCTCTGGCTGGAGGTGTCCTCACAGTCCCCGCTGATTTTTACAGAACAATCGGTCTGGCTTGAGACATTTCAGAAGAGGATGTTTCACACCCATTTTTCATTACGGAAACGCGTGGTGGGAAGTTTCAGTTCCCACACTTTCTTAGGAAATTAGGCCGGGAAACCTCGCCTGCCTCCAGAACTTCCTCCAGCCACTTCCCCTCCCAGCCCCTGCAGCAGCGTCCCTGGAAGGCTGACCCCAAAGGAACAGCTTTCCCAGCCCTGTGATGTCCAGCTTCCCAAATCCCAGCTTGTCCATGCTCCTCAGCGGACAGCAAAGGGATGCTCCCTTCCCAGATCACATTTAGGGTTTGCTCCAAACCACCCCGACCACTAGGGCGTGGAGAAGCCTGGTGTGACTCAAAGCAGCCCTGGTCCTTTTTTATTATTATGATTTTTTTTAAGGGAAACACAAGGTCATGGAGCATTACCTGCGGTTCCAGCACACCGCTTTTCTGCAGGAGGTCACCATCAGCTTCTTGGACCTCCAGGGACATCTGATCAAACTCCGTCCTGGGAAGAGCTCCTGCAAAACAGAGAGAGGCTGCACACTGGCACTGCAGGGGGGGCTCCCCGCTTACATTTTGGGGGCCTGGGTGTACCAGCGAGGGTCGGGGAGCTCAGGACTCACCTGCAGGCTCCACCGCCACCTCCTTGACTTTCCGCAGCAGGCTGGGGTAGCGGGCTCTGTCTGCCCCGTACAGCCCGGTGCTCATCTTCTGCAGGTGGCCGTGGCTGAGGTCCGAGGTGAGGATGGCCTGGATGCCCTGCAGCAGCCCGTAACACAGCAGCAGCACGTTCAGCATGGTCCTGGGGTGACCTGTGGGGGGGGGAAAGGACCAGAATCAGCCTGGTCCCCACTGCCACCACACTGCTGTCACCCCCAGGTGCCTGAGGGACACGGTGCTGGCCAAGGGTGCCCCCATGGGTGGCACCCGAGTTCAACAGCAAGAAGAAGAGGGAGAGTTGTGAGGTCTGATGCTCTGCCCCCAGCAGCAGACTTCAGATGGGAGCATTGAAAGCAATCCAAAGCTGGTTCTGCCTCCTGGAGATGGGGCTCAAGCTGTTTGAGGAGGCTCAGGGTCTCCCTGCCCATCTTCCACACCACCCCAAGGCCACACGTGCCCGCCTGCCAGCGCACAGGCTGAGGCCAAAACGAGTCTCACGAAGCTCCTGATAAGACTTAGGCTCACAGAGCATGGAGATGCTGCTGGGTTTAAAGGCCAGAAGCTGATCCTGACAGCCCGGGCTGCATCTGGGCTTCATCACATCGCTGGGGGGCTCTCCAGGTGCCAGCCCTCGAGCCGTGGTTCATGCTCAGCCTTTGGGGCAGGTTTGCAACGCTCCGGGCAGGAGCTTGGTGCACGGACAGGAGCAACTTGGCATGGCTGCAGCCTCCTGCACTGCACGTGGCATCGCACCTGAAGCCGCGGTGATGGAAACATCCCCAAAGGCCCTGGGACTCCATGGTCTGGATGTCACTGCAAAGTCCCTTTCAGGCACCGCTGAGCCATGCGGTTACCCCAATAACCCACAGAGGCTCATCAGGATGGCTGCTGAGCACCGAGTGTTTGGGTGCAGCCTCCTTTGCTCAGCCAAGCTGCCTGGAGCTCGGTTGCCATCATTTGATGTCCCTGGGTGGGACCAGACTGTGGTTTCCCCCTGCCCCAGTGCAGGGCTCCCTGCCCATGGGGGAATCCAGATTTTCCTCTCCCAATTCAGGACAGGGCTGCGAGCTTCAGCAGCCTGAAAACCACGCGGGGAGCCAAAAAAAGGGACCCAGGAGTGGTGACCCTGTCCCACGCAGGCAGCCCAGCCCCATGACACCCAGCTCCTGCTCCTTCGGTTGGGCCAAAAAGCCGCTCGGGGGCTCCAGCCTGGCAGCCCGGACCCACAGACCCCTCCTTACCCCATAAAACCACCCCACGCTGTGCCACGGGACCCCCACAGCTCGGCCCCACTCCCCAGACCCTTCCCCGGGGCAGAACCCCACCAACCTCCTCCGGGCACAGAGGGGCTCCGGGCGCGCTGCTCCGCCAGGCTCGCTCTCCGCCTCGACGCCCTCCCCACATGCTTACGGGAATTTATATCGGCTCCCTGCTAATTAAGTGCCGTGGCCGCGTGACTCCGCTAACCAGCGGGGAGGTGGGCTGCTCTGGAAACGGGGCTTTGGCTGGCCGGAGAGGCGGGCGGTGCGTGGGAGGGGGGGCTCCTGCGTGGGGCTACGGCGAGGAGCTCAGCCCCACCTGCCCCAAAATCCAGGGGTGGCCACCCAGGGGTGCGAGGTCCCGGCTGCCCTGTGCCGGAGGTGCCTCCGGTTGTGCCCGGCCTTGCTCCATCATCCCTCGCCGTGCTTTGGAGAAGGGATCAAACATCAGCGCTGCTCTCCTGAGGCACCCAGAGCTCTCTGCTGCATTTTGAGGGTCAAATTGCCCGTCCCTAGCTCCTGGCGCGAGCCCAGCCACGGCTCAGAGCCCATTTGCAGCCTCCGCTCCCCGTCTGCAGGGCCTCGGGGCTCCCATCTGCGCTAGCAGCACCTCTCCTTCCTCGATCCTTTCCACAACCTGTGGCACCTCCGGGCTCCCTGCACACCCAGGGCTGCTCTCCGCCACGGCGAGGACGACCAGCAGCAGCCTCCAGCCCCGATGGCATCTTCCATGGCCCCATTGTGGCTCCTCGAGCCTCTGGGTGCCGGGACACTCAAGCACTGCTCCCAAACCCAAAGCTGAAGCAAAGCCTGGCGTGAGCTGGGCACGCTTGGAGGCAGCACCTCTGCCCCTGGGCAGCCTCTCACCCCGCTGGGGTGTCCCCAGCCGCACTGTGGGGTCCCCCACACCCCACACATGGGGTGCAGGCCCCCCGTGCCCCTTCCCACTCCTGGTGGGCAGCTCCGTGCCCCCTGCCCCTACACCCCAATGGGGTCTGGATCCCAGAGGAGGGAGCAGTGAGCGGTGACGCCAACCCCGAGCGGGCTCAGCCTGGCTCATTAGGGTCCTGCTCATTAATGCCCAGCTCATTAGGGTCTGGCTCATTAGGGCCGCGCTCGGAGGGCTTCTGGGAAGGCATTAGCGGAGCGGCGCTGAGAGCTTTTTTCATCTGCCGGAGCTTTTTTTAGCCCCCCGGCCCCTAATTAGCTAAACGAGCCGCCCGCCGCTTCCAGGAACGGCCCCAGGTCCCCCCCCCCCCCCCGCAGGACCCCCGCATCCCCCCCCCCCGTGCTGGGTGCGCTGAGCTGCGCCCGGTCTCAGCGAGGGGCCGGGGCCCTTTAAGGCGCGCCCCCGCGCCGCGTGACGTCAGCGGGGCGGGCGCGCCGCCGGGACGCAGCAGCCCCGCGGCCCCGAGCTCCGGCGGGCGGTGAGAGCTGGGGGGGGGCAATGGGAAGGGGGTTTGGGGGTGCGGTGGGGTCTGGGAGGGGGGTGTTGGGGTGCGCAGGGGGCTCAGAGTGGGGTTTTGGGGTCTACAGGGGTCTGTGAGTGGGGTTTTGGGGTGCACAGGGGGCTGGGAATGAGGTTTTGGGGTGCACTGGGGTCTCAGAGTGGGGTTTTGGGGTGCAAAAGGGGCTGGGAGTGGGATGTTAGGGTGCACAGGGAGCTCAGAGTGGGGTTTTGGGGTGCAAAAGGGTCTGGGAGTGGGGTTTTGGGGTGTACAGGGGGCAGGGAGTGAGGTTTTAGGGTGCAAAAGGAGCTGGGAGTGGGGTGTTGGGGTGCACTGGGATCTCAGAGTGGGGTTTTGGGGTGTGCAGGGTTCTGGGAGTGGGGTTTTGGGGTGCACAGGGGTCTGGGAATGAGGTTTTGGGGTGTTGGAGAGCTGGGAGTGAGGTTTTGGGGTGCTCATGGAGCTGAGAGTGGGGTGCTGGGATATGCAGGGGTCTCAGAGTGGGGTTTTGGGGTGCACGTTGGGCTGGGTGTAGGGTGTTAGGGTGCCTAGGGGGCTGGGAGTGGGGTTTTGGGGTGTATGGGGGTCTCACAGTGGGGTTTTGGGGTGCAAAAGGGGCTGGGAGTGGGATGTTTGTGTGCACAGGGGTCTGGGAATGAGGTTTCAGGATGTTGGAGGGCTGGGAGTGAGGTTTTGGGGTGCACAATGGGCTGGGAGTGGGATGCTGGGGTGCACTGGGGTCTCAGAGTTGGGTTTTGGGGTGTGCAAGGGTCTGGGTGTAGGGTGTTAGGGTGCACAGGGGTCTGGGAATGAGGTTTTAGGGTATTGGGGGGCTGTGGGATGTTGGAGTGTGCAGGGGACTGGGGAAGTGTTGGGGGCCTGGGAGTGGGGTGCGCATGGGGCTGGGGGGGTGGAGGTTGTGGGGTATTGGGGTGCTGAGGGCTGGAAGTAGGGTTTTGGGGTGTGCAGAAGACTGGGGATTGGGGTGCCCAGGGTTTTGGGGTTCTGGGAGGGCTGGAGGTTGGGGTGCTGGGGACCAGGGGATATTGGGGTGCCCAGGTTAGTGGAATGCTGGGGACCGGGGGTTGAGGTGTTGGGATATTGGGGTACTGAGGAATGGGGAGTATATTGGGGAATGGGAATTGGTATTGGGGTGACTGGAGGTTGGGGTATTGGGGTGCCCAAGGGGATGGAGACCAGGGGGATACTGGTGTGCCAAGGGTTGTGGGGTTACTGGGATGCCCAGGGGACTGGGATGCTGTGGGCTGGGGAGTGTTGGGGTGCCTGGGGTCGTGGGGTGCTGAGGGCCTGTAATGTGGGGTTTCAGGGTGCTGGGGATGTGGAGGTTGGGGTGCTCGAGGGGGGGGGGTTATTGGGGTGCTTGGAGACCGGAGGTGGGCTCCTTGTGGTGCTGTGGGCCAGGCTGTGGGGATGCAGCACCATCAGTGCCGGATCTCCGGCAACCCCAAATGCAGAGGGGGTGCCCGGTCCGCTCAGCACCCCCCCGTGGCCCTACAGCGCCCCATGCCCGTTTTTTGCCTGCCGCCGCCATGGCCGAGGGGAAGATCGCGGGGCTGTACGACCTGGAGCGCACGCTGGGCAAGGGGCACTTTGCGGTGGTGAAGCTGGCGCGCCACGTCTTCACCGGGCAGCGCGTGGCCGTCAAGGTGATCGACAAGAGCAAGCTGGCGGGCGAAGCGGCCGGGCAGTTGCTGCAGGAGGTGCGCTGCATGAAGCTGGTGCAGCACCCCAACGTGGTGCGCCTCTACGAGGTGATCGACACCCACTCCAAGCTCTACCTCATCCTGGAGCTGGGCGACGGCGGCGACATGTTCGACCACATCATGCGGCACGAGGGGGGGCTGGCCGAGGGTCGCGCCAAGCATTACTTCGCGCAGATCGTCCACGCCATCTCCTACTGCCACAAGCTGCACGTGGTGCACCGCGACCTCAAGCCCGAGAACGTCGTCTTCTTCCAGGAGCAAGGGGTGGTCAAGCTCACGGACTTTGGCTTCAGCAACCGCTTCCAGCCCGGCAAGATGCTCACCACCAGCTGCGGCTCGCTGGCGTACTCGGCGCCGGAGATCCTGCTGGGGGATGAGTACGACGCGCCGGCCGTGGGTAAGGGCGCAGCGAGCGGGTGATGCCCACCCCGAGCTCGTGCATCCCTCGTGTGTGTGCTCATTGCCCTGCCAGGATGTGGTGTACGGGTGTGAACGGGCTCGCTCTGCTTGTGCTCCCCCTTCCCGTGGTGTTTTGGGCATCCTCGGGGGACAAATCCTGCACTGGGATGCTCGGCCACAGCGGGAGGCTGAGCGAGGCTGACCCAGTGCAGCTCCAAGCCGGAGGCAACTCAGTGCCGGAAGGAAACCTGCTCGGGATGCTGCTGCCTGCAGCTCGGAAAGTTTCCTCCGCTTGGCCCCCACCCTGCTGGAGCTTCCTGCCGGGGTTCGGGGCCCGTCCTGGGGTGCGGGGAGGCCCCACGGGGACAGCGGGGACGTGGGAGGAGAGGCAGGGCTGGGAGCCGCGCCAGCTCCGCTGGAATTTGGGGCAGGAGGATTGAGCAAAACAAAACGCTGGAGCTCTTAAAGGCAACGGCCCGGTTTCAGCACGGAGGGGGAAGGATCCTGAAGTGGGAGCTGGGAGGGCTCGGAGGGGTGATGGAAGCACGAATGCCTAGCTCTGCAAAAGCAAATCAAGCGAGAAAGCCGGCGCAGATGAGAAATGTAAAAATGCGGGCACTTAAGGAGCTGAAGGTATTAGCAGAGAGCCCCGGGCCTGCGCTCAGCATCCTAAAAATAAAACGGTTCTGCAATAGCAAGAAAATCAGTCTCCGAGCTGCCACGGGGGGCGGGAGCGCTGCACGGGCGCGTTCCTGCCGCGGGTCCGTGTGGCAGTCACAGGGAGGCACGTGAAGATGACTGCTGCGGCTGGCGGCGGGGCTGGCCCTGTCCCTGTCCCCAGAGGAGGGCAGCGAGCCCATTTGGGCTGCTGCCCACACAGCTGGGAGAGAACAGCTCGGGGCTGCTGCAGCCTGTAGGGCAGCAGGGAGCTGTGGTGACAGTGCCACCCCGCTTTGGGGACCCCCTCCAGAGGGGTTGGTGCCACAGATGCGGGATGTGGGTGCGTGCAGATGGTGGAAAATAGGGATGAGGAGGTGACAGAGCAGGTGGCCTTCATGCCCTGACCACCACCTCTTCTGTGAAGTCCCTGGGGACCTGCTTGGATATGGGATAGGCGAGGTCCTTCCCCGTGTTGGTGGCACCTGCCATGGGGCAGGACGTGGAGCAGCACCCCAAGGGGCCTGTGCCCTGCTGGAACCTGCTGGGGGGTACCTGGGCTCTCCTTGGGGGTCCTCAGCGAGGCTGGGGATGGCAGCCTGGCCACGGCGGTCGCACTGGCTGGGGTTGCTGAACCTCCTCCTCTTCCTCTTCCTCTTGCAGACATCTGGAGCCTGGGCGTCATCCTCTACATGCTGGTGTGCGGGCAGCCGCCCTTCCAGGAGGCCAACGACAGCGAGACGCTCACCATGATCATGGACTGCCGCTACACCGTGCCCCCGCACGTCTCGGCGCAGTGCTCCGAGTAGGCACCTCTCCCCAGTTTGTAACCCTGGGGTGGCTGCCCCCGTCCCTGTGGGTGTCCCCATGGGTGTCCCTGTCCCCGTGGGTGCCCCAGGATCGGGTTGGGGATGGGGGAAAGCTCCCGGCCGTGCTCTGATGGAGGTTCCCGGTGTCACTCCCTTCCCCGGGCAGCCTCATCTCCAGGATGCTGCAGCGGGACCCCCGGCAGCGAGCCTCCCTGGAGCAGATCGAGGGCCACGCGTGGCTGCAGGGGGTGGACCCGTCCCCCGCCAGCCGCTCCCTGCTGCCCCTCACCTCGCACAAGCGCGTGTCCCGGGAGGAGCACGAGATCATCATCCAGGCCATGACGTGCGGGCACATCGCCGACCGGGACACCATCCAGGAGTGAGTGTCGGGTGCTGGGGAAAGAGGTTGGAGACCCCCAGGGTCACCCCTGGGAGCGCCGCGTCCCTCGGGCGCTGACGCTCGGCCCTCTCCGTGTCGTGCAGGGCGCTGGAGGCCGACCGCTACAACCACATCACGGCCACCTACTTCTTGCTGGCGGAGAGGATGCTGCGGGAGAAGCAGGAGGAGCAGGGCCGCCGTCGGAGCCTCCTCTATGACCTGGCCAAGCAGGTGCAGAGCAGGTGAGCCCCCGCTGCCTCCCTGTCTCCCCCCCAGCCCCACGCTGGGTGCTGACTCCTCCGCTCCTCCCCGCTCTCAGGACCGACCTCTCGGACACGTTCAGCCCCGTGGATGGCAGCGGTGGCCTCCAGCCCTTCACGGAGGCGCCCGGCAGCCCCCAGCCACCCTCCTTGTCCACCTGCGGGGACAGCGGTGACAGCGGCCGCGGCCTCCGCCAGCCCCCCCGGGTGCTGCTGAAGGCCCCCGCCATCGACACCACCATCACCAAGAGTGCCCCGGCCCTGCAGCAGATCTGCGAGGAGGAGGAGGAAGAGGAGGAGGACGAGGGCAGGCCCGCCGTGATGGAGAGGAAGAGCAGCTCGCTGAACCAGGAGCAGATGCGAGATTTCCTCCGTGCCGGGGCCCGCCGGCTGTCATGCCGCGGGGAGGTGCCGGGCTGGGGGGCCGAGCCGGGGGGCTGGGGTGGGCGCCCGGGTGCCATCGGAGGCGGGCGAGGAGCCCCGGGACCCCTGGAGCCCCCCAAGGGGAGGGAGGACGACGTGGGGAGCCCCCAGGAAAGGGGGCCCGTCCTGCCGCCATCCCCAGACCCCACGGACAAATGCCAGGGGGCCCTCAGCAGCCCCCACATCCAGGCCCGGCGGGGGGTGGAGAGCTTGGGCCCGGGGGGCACCGAGGTGGGCGCGGAGAATGTGATAAAGCTGGACCCAGGGAAGGGCAAGAGCGGCAGCCTGCGGGACCGGCTCCTGCAGTTCCCCCTGTGCGAGAAAGCCCTGGCCTTCAAGATCCGGCCCAGCTCCAAGGAGAGCCTCCTGTCCTTGGGGCAATTCAACTGCTGCCACGTCATTTAGCCCCGGGCAGGGGCTGTGTGCGTCCCCCCGCAGCCCCCCCGGTGCTGCTGCACTGCTTCCACCCCCCGCTCGCCCCCATATCACCCCCATCGGCCACCTCCCTGCCGCGGGGCCGGCTGGGCACATGGAGGGGGGGGGGAGCTGGGCTGGGGTCCCTGCCCTCCCCGCTGTCCCCAGCACCCCGTGCTCAGGGATGGGTGGACAACGACATTTTTTTAACTACTAGAAAGAGTTTTTTTAAATAGTCTATTTTAATGTAATTAAATAAAGATGGCTATATTCCCCCCCCACCCTCCCAGCCTGAGCAATCCTGGGACCGTAGCCCCAGGGCCAGGCTGTCCTGCCTGCCCCCCCAGCCTGTCCCCCCCCCTCAGCCCAGATGCGCTTCCTATTTATTACCTCTTTGTTTTCTTGCTGGCAAGAAATGACTGACGAGGGAGGCGGGCGCCTGGCCCGCTGTGCACTGAAGGGATGGGAGCCGCTGGGAAGCAAAGTTCATCGGTCCAATAAACCACGCTTCGGGTTTGATGCGGTTGCCTCTTCTTTCTGGGGGGGGTCTTATAGGAAGAGGAGGGGGTTATGGTGTGGGTTGGGTGGTGGATGGACGGACAGACAGGCAAAGCAGACCCTATGTCCATGGAAAAGAGGCAGGAGAGGGTGCCTGGGGCAGGCTGCAGCCCCCCCAGCCCTCGGGCTCCCCTTGCTCACGCCTAAAGGATAAAGCTTTCGCCTGAACAGGGGCTTGAACCCTGGACCCTCAGATTAAAAGTCTGATGCTCTCCCAACTGAGCTATCCAGGCTCACGTTTGGGATTTTGGGTGATGCTCAGAACAGCCCCGTGAGCCCCCCGTGTCCCTGTGCCAGCAGGGGGATGAGGTGGGGACTCGCTGCTCCCACCAGGCTGTCCCCAGAGCCCCTCTCCCTGCCCCTGTCCCGGGACACTGTGGGATGCCTGAGGGCAGCCATGGGACCCCTGAGAGAGACGGGGCGAGCACAACCCGAGGCACTGTGCTCGTGCAGCGGTCAGTGCTCTGCGCTGTGGCCGCAGCGACCTCGGTTCGACTCCGAGTCGCAGCAGTGGCTTTGCAGAGACCCAGAGCAGCGCCCACGTCCCACATCGCCCATTTTGCTCTCCGAAATGTTCCTCTGTGTGCCCACAACTGGGTGCTTGGGTGGACATGGGCACCTCAGTGAGGTGCTGGAGGGTCTGGAGCCTCCCTGCTTTTTGGGAGAGGAGGCACTGAGGGGAGCACTGAGGGGAAGCCATGAGGGGAGGCTCTGAGGGGAAACCATGAAGGGAAGCCATGAGGGGAGCCCGGCGCCATTGCCGCGCGCTCCGTTTTTGCCTCACGCTTCTCATCGAGCCGCCCTCATTAAGCAGCTAATTGCCTCCCTGAGATTTTGAGAGGATTTGAAGAGAAAAAAGGGAGAGGAGGCGCTGTGAGGAGGCGGCGCTCTCTCCCCGCCGCCCTTTCGGGCCCTCGGCAGCCACCGTCGCGGGGCCGTGAGGCGGCAGCGAGATGGCGGCGGGCGGCGACCCCGCGGCGGCTTTCGTGGCGTGGTGCGGGGCGGCCGGCGTGAGGCTGAGCCCCAAGGTGCGGCCTGAGGGGACCGGCAGGGGGACATTGGGGGTGTCGGGGGTGTCCCCTGCCCTGCTGACGGCTCTCCTCTCGCCGCAGGTGCGCCTGAGCCGGCAGGGCACGGTGTCGGGCTACGGGCTGGTGGCCGGCGAGGAGCTGGCGGCGGGGGAGCTGCTGGTGGCCGTGCCTCGCCCCGCGCTGCTCTCCCAGCACACCTGTGGCATCCGTGGGCTGCTGAGGGACGGTGAGCACCGGGGGGGGCCCCAAAGTGTCCCTAAAGTGTCCCCAAGGTGTCCCCGGGGTGGCCCCAGGGTGCTGGTTCTGCCCGCAGGATGAGTCCGTCCCCCGTCCCCCCCCCCCCCCCGGTTCTAAGGGCTTGGGGGTAGAGCAAATGGAGGAAATCTGCCTTTAACCTGCTTTATTTTCTCTGTCATCGCTCCGTGCATAGCTCAGGACGCTCTGCAGAGCCAGTCCGGGTGGGTGCCGCTCCTGCTGGCCCTGCTCTACGAGTACACGGCCAGCAGCTCCCCGTGGAGGCCCTATTTTGCTCTCTGGGAGGACTTCAGGAGCTTGGATCACCCCATGTTCTGGTAAGGGGGCACAGGGGGATGTGGGGTGGCCCCTTGGGACAGTGCAGTGATAGGGGTGCAGCCCCAGAGCCTTGGGGGTAGAGGTGGTGCTGGTGGGAGACTCCATCTCCACTCATTTAGCCCTGTGCCAGGAGCCTGAGGGATGCTCCAGACCCTACCTGTAACAGCAATCAGGACTCCAGAGAACAGGGGGAAGCTTAATTCCCTTTCCTTTATCAATTCCCTTTCCTTTAGGGGAAGGAGTTTACAGACCTTTCTTGCTGAAGCCGCTCTTTTCTTTGCACCAGGCCTGAAGAAGAAAGGAGCAGGCTGCTGCAGGGCACTGGCATCCCTGAAGCAGTAGACAAGGACCTGGCTAACATCCAGCTGGAGTACAGCTCCATCGTCCTGCCTTTCATGCAGGCCCACCCCGACGTCTTTGACCCCAAGGTGCACACGCTGGAGTTGTACAAGCAGCTGGTGGCGTTTGTCATGGCTTACAGGTGAGGAGGGAGGGCTTTGTGCTGACAGAGGAGACAAAAAGCAAATTGTAGGATGAGGGGATGGTGAATGATCACAGGCTGCATTATTTAAAAGGTTGCAGTTGCACAGGAGTGCAATGGTAAGCTGGATCCCTGTATTGGAAGATGTAAAACAGTCCTGTCTTCATGTCCCTTGTCTTAGTTTTCAGGAACCTTTGGACGAGGAAGACGAAGATGAGAAGGGACCCAATCCTCCCATGATGGTACCCGTAGCAGATATTTTGAATCACGTGGCCAACCACAACGCCAACCTGGAATATGCTCCTGTGAGTGGGAAGCTCTTGTACTGGGCCCCATCCCAGAGTTGAGGCTTTGTTTGTGCAAGGTTTGCTCACTGACTCCACAGCAGCACTACTCACCTGCCAGGGCAGCTCCCTCAGAAAGAAGAAGCTATTTTGCTTGACATAAGCAGCTGCTGCTTGCCTTGCCTTAGCCAGGACAACCTTAGGGTCAGCTGAGCCTCTCTGAAGACACTTTTGCTGTAGGACAGGAGCTGAAGCTTGTTTTTCTCGTTGCCTGCTATTGTGCACACAAGGTAGCTTTTTCCCTAAGATTATAGGTAAGAGATTGCACATACCTGAATCACCTTCCTGGGAACGGCGCTGCTGAGGGAAAACCCAACACCCGTGCTCAAGAACCACCCTCTTTCATGACTGAACCTCTCCCCTCTCTGCTTGCAGAAGTGTTTGCGCATGGTGACAACACGGCCCATCAGCAAAGGGCAAGAAATCTTCAACACCTATGGGCAGATGGCCAACTGGCAGCTCCTGCACATGTACGGCTTCGCGGAGCCCTATCCGGGCAACACCAACGACACGGCCGACATCCAGATGGTGACGGTGCGCAGGGCAGCGATGCAGCGTGAGTGGCACGGGGGGAAAGGGGTGGAGCAGGGGTGGCTCCTGTTAAGTAGTGATGAAACAAAATGGGGCTTGAGGATAAAGGGAAGATGAGGCTGTTCTGTAGAATTTCAAGAGCTGGGGCTGTGCCTTTTGCTGCCTTCTGTTTCCCCTTCACCACTGCAAAGTGAGTTGGCTGTTGCAGCTCTGCTGCCTTCCAAACAGGTGCCAAAAACGAAGCACAGCGGCAACTGGTCTCGGAGCAGTGGGACTTCTTGTGCCAGCTGGAGATGGTGGGGGAGGAAGGCGCCTTCGTGGTTGGCTGGGATGAGGTGCTGACAGAGGAAGAGCTGTCTGTGACCCTGAAGGTAAGCAACACTACGCGGCTGCCAGGTGGTCAGAGCTACGCTAGGAACAGCACGGACACTGCGGCTGCTTGAACAGCGTGCAAAAGGGTGAAATGAAGGCAGACAAGCATGGGAAGGGATTTTGGTCCTAATAGTTTGTGGGAAAGGAATTCGCAGGTGGCTTTGTGCTGTTTCACACATCCGTGAATTAGAAAAAATGAGGAAATAAGCAGTAGAACCAAAACTTGAGCAAAGTTGAGATAAATTAACTTGGGTACAGTGTTAAATATGAGCTTTGGGCAGTGGCTAATTGCTGGCTGGCTCAAGGCACGCGCCTGAGGGTCTCTAATCAATTTTATGACTGATTTGGGCATGTGGACAGCACATGGGGCTACGGGGAAAGTATATGTAGTGGAGAAGGATGGCAATAAAGGCCTTCTGTTCAAGAGCCATCAGGTGTCCATGTCTTTCATCCCTTCCATAGTCCTGTGTGGGAAGGGGTAGGGGTGTAGCTGTCCAGCTGCCAGGCTTCCCATGGCTCTGTTACCGTCCTTCCCTGGAGCAGCCACCTGCATTTACTTGCATGCTACCCTCAAGCAGCTCTGTAGGGTTGTTAGCTTTGTAGGCAGCAGCTGAGGTTTGTGATTTGGAAGCTCTTTTAATCATGGAATCATAAAATGGTTTGGGATGGAAGGGACCTTAAAGATGATCTGGTTCCAAGCCCCCTGCCATGTGCAGGGCTGCTATTTAAGCTGGTTTTACTTGTACTGCAGCCAAGGAACAATTCACCTGCTCCCTGTGGCCCCGAGACTGCAGTTCTCTGGGGAGGAAAGCCTGACACACCCACGGTGCCACTAACCTGTCTCTTTGCCTGGGTCATTTCAGGTGCTGTGCATGTCAGAAGAAGAATTCAAGGAATATAAGGAACAGGATGGCTGGGAAGATGACAGTGAGGAAGAGGAAAGCTCCACTCTTTCTAACGAAGCTCTCTCCAGACTTAAACCCCCTTGCAAGAAACTCCTTTATGACAGTGTGCTGCTGACCCTGGAGTCCTACAGGTCAGACCTGAAAGCAGACCAGGACTTGCTAAAAAAGGAAGCTTATGAGAAACTGAGTCAAAGGGAGCAGCAAGCTTTGCATGTACGCTATGGACAGAAAAGGATCTTGCATCAGCTGCTAGAGCTGGTACGCTGAAAGCCTCACTGCCCCTGGAAGTGAACTGCCTGCAACTGTGCTCGTAGAGGGAAGGGCAGCCTTCAGCCTTCCCTTCTACAGCAGAGAGAATGGATGCCAAGATTGAATATGGACCCACTTGATCCTCACAGTTTGTGGCTTTTCAGCTACCTCTACATAAAGATAAAAAAAAATCTTGTACAATAATAGCATTATTGGGTGGCCTTATCTTACAGGGAAAGCTGTGGAGCGCAACTACTGTCTTTTTCTGGAGAACTTAAAATCCAGATCTGGTTGTTTAATGGTTGCTTAAGGGAGACAGACATACACCATCATAATAAAAAGTGAATTCCCTCATTCAGCATCCCAGGTTTAAAGCAAGAACTGTGCCTTGTCCAGATGAACAGGGCAGAAAGAAATCTAGCTGGTAGGTTCAGACTAGGGATGCTAACAAACAACTCTTCACACATAATTTCTT